CTTTTCTATGATATATATAATTTAATAAATATAAACTAAAATATTATAATATTTTAATATTTTTTATAATAGATTGAAAAAAATATATATATTCCTTTAAAAAGTTTAAAATAGTTTTGATTTTTCTATAAAAATAAATTATTTTTTTTTATTAAAACTTTTTTTATTACATGACTATAAATGATTGAAAAATTTCAAATCGTTTTTAAATAAAAATTTTGATAAAATAGTTTTAAGTAAAACTTTGCTACAATAGAATATTAAATAATACTTTGATGATATATATTATATTGTGTATAATTATATGTATTTTATTTGTTTAAAAATATATTATATATTTTCAGTTACTAGAAAATACTGGAGTTAATAAAAATGATATAGCTCTTTGGGAGATTAATGAAGCTTTTAGTGTAGTAGTAATTGCAAATCAAAAATTATTAGATCTTGATCCTAATAAAGTGAATATTCATGGAGGTGCTGTATCTCTTGGTCATCCTATTGGGCAAGTATTTTTTATTAGATTTTTTCATATATTTAAACAAATTTAAAAAAAGTTATAAGTACTTTTAAAATTTAAATATATAAAATTAAAATAAAATTTAAAAACTTAAAATTTTAGTATGTCTGGAGCTCGTATTGTAGTACATTTAGTACATGCTTTAAAAACTGGAGAAAAGGGTATTGCATCTATTTGCAATGGAGGCGGTGGCGCTTCATCAATCTTAATTGAAAAATTGTGAGTTTGCTACAAATTTTATATAATACAATGAATGATAGTTATATACTTATATATTAATTCTTTTATATTTTATTAATTATTTTATATAATATTTTATATAATAATGATTGTATACAATATTTTTTTTTTATTGTGCATGAGGGTATACAATTTTTGTATTAATATAACTATATTTTTTATAATATATTGTTATAATAAATAGATAATGTTGTAAAAAAAAATTATTTTTTAGAATAAAAATTTTTATTTATTCTATTTATAAAATTTATATTTATTCTACAGGTATCATACAATATCTTTTCCACCAGTATTAACATTATATACAAAACATCCTTGCTCACTTTGTGATATTTTAAAAAAGGAATTGCAATTGCATTTTTTTGGTCGTTATCAGTTACAAGAAATTGATATTACTGCATCTGGAAATGAACAATATCTGAAATTATACAAATATGAAATTCCAGTTCTTTTTTTAGAAGGTCAATTTCTTTGTAAGCATTATTTAGATTCAGAATTATTAGAAAGAAAATTACAAGAATTTAGTCAAAATTAAATATTAATAATACATAATTAAAATATAGAATAAATATATATATTTATATATATAATTACAAAATATTTATCTTATTTAAATGTAATTGATATTTATAATTTTTTATGATAATCGAATATATAAACAAAAAATTAGTGAACATAATATTTGGATATTTTATTAAAAATAATAATAATAATATATATTTACAATATATAATTATTATTAAATATATTGAAATACTTAATGTAATTAAGATTAATAATTGTTATTGGTAAATCTTCATTTATTTTAAGTCATTTCATTTTCACTCTCCCTTGCTATCTCTTTCCTCTTACTTCCCTTTCTTTCCGCCATTAGGGTCTACATATTCTCTTTCCAATGGGTAAGCAAGTGATCACACACACTAATATATTGAAGATCGGCAGTGAATTGGTGAATGCACGCATCGAACTTTCCTTGCCGTTGTTCGTTCTTTCTTCAGTGCGTGCCTAACGTGAATAACGTAAAGTATATTTTTGTTTCATATTGCTTACGTGGCATATTGTAGTAAATGTTTTATTAAAATTTTTAAAATAAACCGAAAAAGAGAAATGAATTAAAATTAATTACATTTTAAAATCGTGAAAATTAATAATGAACGTTGTGTATTATTAAAGTCTGTTGCAATTGTATTATTGAAGTTACGCCAGTGCCCTGTTTGATTTTTCGTGGGGCAACGTAACCAATATGTATCAAGAATAACGGGGCTAAATGTGAAACGGATCTTGACTTTATTTAAAAAGAATCATATAATTATAATATGAGTGTTCATAAATTCTTTTAATAGAAATAAAGAAAAAAGAAGAAAAAATTCCAGAAGAATTCTAATAAAAGTAAAATTTAAACAATAATAAAATAAATAAAATCATTATATAAAAAATGAAATTATATGAGTGCAGTGAACAATATAATTGAATATATTATCATTTTTAAATGAATTTAAAATAATGAAAAAAATTTAATTGAAAATATTAAAATAAAAGCAAATGCTGCTTCAAAATATTAACGGTTATTTTGAATTTTGTAATATTATATTTATTGAGAATAAAATTTATAATTATGAAATTGAAAATGTAATAATGTAATTAATAGAGGTTAATAGTGAATTGAATTTTTTTATTTTAATAGGCGCGCTGTGAGTTAAATAAACTCATAATATTTTTAGATGGCGTTATTCTCAGTCTTAATCAATTATAAATATTAAAGCGTTGCTATATTTTAAAAAATATTGATAATTCCTAATTATTTAAAATATATGAATATGTAAATTATATATGTAAATTATAATATGATATAGATAAAAAAATATATTTATACCATATATCTAATTCTTGAGTTTAATAAAGAATAAGTCAAATATGAATCGAAAAATTGAAATTTTAATTTAAAGGAACAAAAATTTACGAAAATAAAAATGAAATCATTTATTAATATTCACAATATTATATCTTTTGCGAATAATTTTACTCAAAATTCAATGTTTTTAATTTTTCAACAATTTTTCTGAAGATTGATCACAAGAAATAAAGGTATGAAAAGTATCTAATATTTTATTCAATAAAATTTTATTCATAATTATTTTTATAATAATTTTGTACAATTTTTAAAATTTCACAAATATATTTCATAACTTAACAAACCAAAAGATATTTAAAGAAGATCTAAATTATATTGACATAAAAAATTTCATACATGCAAAATTATATATAAAACAATTGTTATTATAATTATAATTATTATAGCTTTCAAATATTAATAAATATGCATTTATATCTTATATAAGATATGTATATTAATGTATTGATTATATTTGTAAAAATTATATTCACGAAAAAATAGATAAAATACTTCTGTTAATTTTTTTTATTATTGATTATTGATTTTATATTTTCAAATCAATATGTAAAAATAATTAGGATAATATAAATATAATAATTAATTATATATTTATATAAAAATATAAATATAAATATAATAATAAATAAATATA